AGCAATAGCTATCCAAATACCAAGGATAAGGGCACACCCTTAACTGCTCCTTCTATCATGTGTACCACTCTACTGGGAATAGAGATACCAACTCCAATGGCTGGGGAATGGACTCTAGTTGGGGAGAATCTATCTCCTCTTGGGGAGACAAATCAATGCTCACAGTCCAATGTTCAGACTCTGTGGGGAAACAAAACTGAATCTGCTGAGGAATAGGCTCAATACTCCGCATATGCTTCTACTGAAGATATGACGAGGATACATTTCTGACAGATGCCCCAAGGGTAATGACCTTGCAAAAATGATCTCTGGGACACTTTATCCTGAACAGAAAAAGTTTGTCATGAAGCGGCCTCGAGATGGCTTGCCCCAGAATTTTTAATAACTTCTGACAAACTCTGCAGATATGGAGAGGAACGATTCCTTCGCTCTCAACTTTTACCCCAGCCTGTGGGATCCCCGTAATATTCCTCGAAAGGAGCCCTGAAATCTCTGTATTCTGGCGGTTTGATACGAATGGCCTCAACATTTGGAACCTCATAGAGGTGCTTCACGTTAATCGTCTTTAGGATAAGGATAGCTTCGGTGCTCTCGGGGTGGCCTGCCCCAGCCTTATCATGACTTTGCCCCTGATTGGCAGATTTGGGGGAGCAGTACCCTTGGCTGTGAGAGATTCACCAAATCTCGACCTGATTGCCCCGGATTAACTGACTTTTGGATGGCTGACTCTCATGCTGTGATCATTTGATATAGCTTGCCCCGGTTCGCCGAAATATTCAGGCGTTCTGCGTTCTATCCTGGTCAAATCTTTCCATAGTGGAAACTTTCCTACTGCCAAGCGTTTACTCGCCAGTAAAATAAATTGTTCTGCATAAAAGATATATTAAATGCAATGCATATTACAGTTTTTCAAAATCCAATTCGGTTCACTGGAAAAAGTTTGTGACATAAAGTATATGAATCATTCATTAACATGTCAACATTAATACAACGTTGTAAGAGGAATCCTTTCTAGGAGTCAGTTTCGATGCGATCTTTACCGAAGTATGCTTTCAAAACAAACGTATTTCAATTACGACTTTTAAAGGTTGTAACATGGTCAGGTTCACGGTTAGCAAGGAAGGATATAAGGCTCAAAATTCATTTTAACCCACCCATTCTCCTTGATGTTATTCAATCTTACGTTAAGCTAATTCGACCTTAGCGCTCACCTTTCAAAGGTATAAGTGATAGTTCAGGAAATCACACTTTTTCGAAGTGACAGTCACTCGCTTTTCGCCTTTTGTGCCAGGAGTCACACGATTTCGTTCTTGTTTTAGGATTTTTCCTTTTGTAATCCTTTTGTTTTTTGTTTTTCATTTTCCCCTAACTTTTTCCGGGACTAACTCTTTTGAGTTTCTTCAATTTTGAAGTCCAGCGGGATGCCCTAATTTTTGCCTAAGTCGCTTGTTCGCAAGATTCGACTTAGCGGGCTTTCCTTTTGATTTTTTTTTGAACAAATTGCGTGACACCGGCTCGTATGACTTGTTTGAAAAGAGATAGTGATTGTTTCACTCCTTATCGGCAAGGTTTAACCATCATGGCTTTTTAGGCACGACCTATAGAGGTGTGATTGATCCTCGAACGGAACACTCCTTTTTGCAATTTTGAACGCTTGGTCAAATCAACTGACACCTACCTTTCCCAAGGTCAAGATTGAGGGTTTTTCATTTTCAGAAAGAAACTCCTACTACTAGGCTCAAAGGGGTTGACAAGGGATTATCTTCCTTATATCTCCGGTGTTTGTGGATTTGAAACAATACATGTACATCATCAACAGGTTTTCATCCAAAAGCATGCAATCGGAAGCTTACGCGTCTTTCGATTTCGTCATCCTCCCCGGACTCCACTTAAACAAGCGTTTGAAAGAAATAAAAGCATTAAAGTGAACACAAATGGATTAATTCAAAACATGCATATTTATTTCATTTATCAATATCAATTGAAAAACAACAAGTTTACAAACAAGATTTGCGTTTAGACAGGAAAGAAACCACAAATGCAAAGAAATAACAGGACAAAACGCAAATTGTCAGCTTTTGGTAACTGGGCTTCAGCCATCTTTAGAACTTTTCATTGGCGTGAACTATTGAGATCCCGCGACTGGATGAAGGAAGATCCTTAATCTGAATTCCCTGACGTGCGATAGAGAGCGTACCGGAGTCTATCAAGGCCTGAATCTTATTCTTAAAAGCTTTACAGTTCGTGATGTTATGCCCTGGTGCCCTTGAGTGGAAGTTGCAATGGGCATTCACGTCAAAGCCTGGTGGTGGCTATCCAGTCAATGGAGCCAATGTCTGAGGTTTAACCAACTGAAGTTGGAGCAAGATTCGCACCAACTGCGCATAATCCATAGGGACTTTATCAAATATTCTGTCAGCTAGCTTCGGCCTTTGACTATATCTTCTAGGGTTATCCTGAGAATCCTGACGTGGCCGCTAACGGGAAAAGTCTGGAGCTTCAAGCTGTGTAGAGGATCTTTCAGAGCTATCGTTCCTTGTTACAGGTTCCACAGTCGTCAGTGGAGCCAACATTTTGGTCGCAGCTTCAGACATTCGATCACTTTCTTGTCTGAGCACGCCTCTTATTATCTCCATGATCAAGTTCACCTGAGTCTTCAACTGTTGGTTCTCCTATCTAAGTACCTGCTGGTTCGAATGCAACTCTTGCATGTTCCTCATGAACTGCTCCATCTGGTCTAGAACCTCGCTCAGTTCTGCCCGTACCTTCTCCATAGCTCTGATCTAATTCGTCCCGCGATCAATCCTGAAACCAACTGATTTGAACAACCACAGGGGGTAAGATAAATAAACCGAGGCATATGGTATGCAAAATGCTTATGTGAATGCCAACACGTGTCTGTGCATTAGGGAGAGTCCCCCTCGATTCTAGTTTCCAGGACAAATAAAGTCCAACATCCAATCATGGAAAGAAAACCTCGTATATATATATATATATATATATATATATATATATATATATATATATATATATATATATATATATATATATATATATATATATATATATATATATATATATATATATATATATATATATATATATATATATATATATATATATATATATATATATATATATATATATATATATATATATATATATATATATATATATATATATATATATATATATATATATATATATATATATATATATATATATATATATATATATATATATATATATATATATATATATATATATATATATATATATATATATATATATATATATATATATATATATATATATATATATATATATATATATATATATATATATATATCTGAAAAGCCCATGTAGGCAACGTACAACTGTAATCGAATACAACTGAAGCAACAAGTGTGACCCCAACCAACAGGCCTGGTGGTGGTCATCATATAAATGCATAAAAAGATATATGGGAATACAATAGAAATCAAGTGCGGTTGCGAGCACGGAAATCTTCTAACAGCTCCTTCGTATCTGGATGATCAGGCCTGGTGAGCAAACCCCAGATAAGTAGCTCTCTCTTCCTGATGGTGTCCTGGTGACCCTCACCAAAGTCTTCCTAGGCACCCTCTCCGAAGCAGTCTTCCAACCTGCTTCTCTTGGAGTCAGCTCTGAGTTGGAAATCCTTCAGGTTTGTCGTAGCTTCAACTAACCGGTATTGAGCGTCGCGTCGAAGCGATGCCTCAGCCTCAATCTTCTTATCTTTGATTCTAATATGAACTTCTAGCTTGGATATTTTTTGCTTCAGCTTCTCTTCCCGTTCCTTATGATTAGTCAGGGTGGCATTCCACTGAGTGTTGAATTTGGAGATCTTCAGATACGCCTTATCCAATTCTTTCTTTTTAGTGGCCAACACGCTGCTCGCAGCCTTCATATCTAATCCAAGACGCTCCTTAGCATCAGTCAGCTTGGTTAGATTCGTGCCCAAGTGGTTCACCAGCTCGGTCTGCTGCTTAAAAGAATACACTGCTTCAATCTTCTCATGGCGGATTTAAGCAATTTCCTTCTCCAATGCTTCGTTGGCTTTCACTAACGCTTCTTTCTCGGCTTGAAGCTGATTGTATTTCTGAATGTCCACCGTTGTTGGCTCTTCAACTCTGGGTGCACAAGGAGGTGTAGCTGGAGGAAACAACATCAGAGGGTTTACAAACAATATTGATCAACTTCCCATAAGCCTTCCTGAAATCATCCAGGACCTTCCTATCAGCCATACCAATCAAGCTGGACAGAACACTGACATCTAGAGTTGGCAACTTGTAAGCAACAGTTTTCCTCAAAGTTTCCATGCTGGAGATAAGAAACCAGATCACTAGAATCAAAGGGTGAATACGAACCTGCAACATAGACACGTGTTAATGAGATGCAGAAATGAGAATTTTTCACCCATATACCCTACAAAACACCCCCTAAATCCCAAACTACCCAACATTTCCCCATATATCCCAATCTACCCATGTTTGGGTTTTTTTTTAATTTTATACAAGGGGGCGCCATGGGGGTTGGAGCCTCCCTTATAATTTGTATGGGGGCGCCATGGGGGTTGGAGCCACCCTACAAATTATAAAGGGGCGCCATACCCATTGGAGCCTCCCTTAAATGCCCTAAAGGGGGGCGCCATGCCCCATGGAGCCTCCTTTAAACGAAATTTTCAAAATCAAAAATATTATAATTAATAGAATTAAAATTTAATATTATGTTATAAATATTAAATTCCAACATTGGTTCATCCAAATTTAGAAGAGTTGGTGACATTGATTCATCCAAATTTAGAAGAGTTGGTAACATTGGTTCATCCAAATTTAGAAGAGTTGGTAACATTGGTATTTTTAATGATATGCGTTGTTACTCTAGAAGTATTTCAATTTGTGTATGTGGTAACCAAAAGTTGTTATAAATATTAAATTCCAAGGTTACACATTTTTTTAATTTAAATGACAAAAGTAAATCTATCTAGAACTTGTTCCAACATTTGGACAATTATTCCTCGTATGCCCGGGAAGACGACATGTTCCGCACAATCTTTCCATTTTCTCAGTTGTATCCATTTCAGTTGTAATTTTGGTGCTTTTTGGGCGGCCCTTTTTGTTTCTTCTCATATTTTCATTGTGGTAGATTGTGTCTCCATGATATGTTGGCCAATAGTCCTCACTAGCTACCACTGGAAAACTGTTATTGTAGATACCGAATAAGTTCACAACCTTGTAAACATCTGATAGCAGCAAGAATGGATCGTGACGAACACTGGAACATGCGGCAATGACATGTGAACAAGGCATGCGGAAGGTTTGAAACTTTCCGCAGTCGCACCAATTTTTATGAAGTTCCACCCTGTAGTGTCCCATTGGCCGACCCTCATTGTGATCCATTGTCTCGTCAACAATGAAGCTGTAATCGTGACGATTAAATGGTCTGACTCGATGTGAGGCTGCCTTAGAAGTTTCATCCTTCATATATTTCATACTTGATTCGCTGAATAATTGCCCTGATTGCAAAACAGCGCTCCATTTTTTGCCTCTTGACGCAAAAAGTGAGCCCAATCTGTAATAGGTAGCTCTTACCAACGCAGTGATGGGGAGGTTCCTAGTTCCCTTAAATACGTCGTTTAGGGATTCTACAAGATTTGTGGTCATGTGACCCCATCTGCATCCTCCATCAAAAGCCCTTGTCCATTTCTCGACTGGAATGTTATCCACCCATCTTAATGCTTCTGCGCTCGACAATCTTATTTCTTCACGGTAATACATGAACGATGGTTGGTTTAAGGAATACCCAGCATTCACAACTTTTTTCCGGAGATTTCTGTCCTTAATGTCCCGCATAAAATTCTGGGCAATGTGTCTTATGCAAAAGACATGGACAGAAGGAGGATTGTGCCAACCATTTACAGGATTGTTGTAGGCGCTCACAATGGAAGCATGTCTGTCGGAAATCAGACATAAGTTAGGTTGAGGAGCAACATGTGTTCTAAGATTTCTAAGGAAGAAACTCCAAGCTTCGCCTGTCTCACCCTCGACCAAGGCAAAGGCAATCGGAAATATATTATTATTTCCGTCTTGTGCAACCGCCATCAACAATGTTCCTTTGTATTTTCCATACAACCATGTTCCATCGACTTGAATAACCGGTTTGCAGAATGCAAAACCTTTGATACATGGTTGAAATGCCCAAAAGAGCCGAGAAAATATCCTACTTCCATCAACGCATGTTCCCTCAGGAGTGTATGCTGGTAGTGACTCCAATATTACAACCGTGCCAGGAACATATTTCTGCAGTGCTAGTAAAAACTGTGGAAGTTGATTGTAAGATTTTTCCCAATTCCCATATACATGTTCGACCGCTTTTATTCTTCCAATCCAAGCTTTCCAGTATGACGGGGTATAGTTGAACCGTGCAACAACATGAGAGATAATTGTGCTAACCTTCATAGATGGATCTACGCCCACAAGATGCAAAATCTCTTGTGATATCAATTGAGAGCTTAGTTTTCCATAATCTTGCCGATTGATGTTGGTTGTGCAACTATGAGGTGGGTCCATCGAACCTATCACCCAACAGTCACTTCTTTTCCGATAGGACGCTGCTAACTGAAACTTGCAACCTTCGTTACGACAAACTACGACATAGCATTTTGAGTCGTTCCGATTGATGTAAAAATCAATGAAGTTATCCATATGAAACTTTCTTATAGCTTTCATGCACTCATCTTTTGTGCGGTACTGGTTTCCCACTTTCAAAACACCTTCAATTTGTTGAGACGGATTGTAGAAATAATCCGAGGAAGTATCGTCTCCACTGAATTGCAAGTTCGTCATGTGTTGGGAGGACAATACACTTGATTTAATGGTACTGCCTCTTCATCTATCTCTTGCAGTGGAGTCATTGTTGTGTAGTCCCCAGTCCCGAACAGATTAACCATTTGATCAACCATGGCCTCTGGTGCTTCTTCCTCCTCGTCCACAACATCAACTTCGTCTATACCCGTTGTTTCGCCAACCTCGTGTTCAGACATATTTGTTGTTTTAGGGGGGGGGGGGTTTGTAGCACCTATCCAACAAAATCAGTTTGAATTTCCATTCGCTAAAAGGTAATTACTTTTTCCAATTCTCATTTATCTATCATAGTCTTTTTATTTATTAATCATATTATTAATAAATTTTATTATTTTCGATTTGTAGGTGGTCTTCGCTTGGAATGAATTATGACAATTACCCCCACTTCAGTATAACGCAGTACCGAAATCTTATTGATCACTTGGCGCAAGAAGATGTAAACTCACTCACCTACCTATTTATGTTATACTCTCCTTGAATATTATTAGAAAATACTAAACATTATTTTTTTCATCCTTCAGTTCATTTGGCGGCCGTATCTTGGTCTAGAAGCATTTCATCAAGTTGAACAACAAGAGTCTGCGGTGTGGAGTGCAAAGGTGCCCATTATCAACTTCACCACCGTCGAAATGCATAACAGTGATCGTGTGAAACTTCAATTTGGAATGCTTCAAGATATTCCATGTCCCCCAAAGTGCATACCCGACAAATATCACAACGGTAAAGTCTCCGACCAATGGGAATATAATCCGTGGACCAAGTATGCAAAACACGAGTGTCATGAATGGAGGCATCGCAACAACTATGTTTTGTCCGACAATGTGTTTCCATACGAGATGAAACAATCTATACAATACATGACTTGGTATAAGTCTGTATCAATTGGTTTCATTTCACATCCAAGGTATCTTAATGACCCACGCCAACAAGATTCATCATCAAGGCCCCAACAACCAACCCAACCCTATTTCCAACCGCCAACCCAACCTCATTGCCAACCATCAACCCAATACTATTTCCAACCGCCAACCCAACCCCATTTCCAACCCCCACTCACACAATCACAGCCATATGAACATACTCCTAACCAATTCACTCCACTCACACAAACTCATTCACAATCCGAATACCAACAACATCCACCACAATACCACACATACTCCCAGTTTCAAACACCCAATCAACCCATATCCACCCAAACCTTTACACCCATCTCACCCTACGATCAGGCCGGTTATCGTCCTGACATTGCCTCATCCAGCCAACCACCCCAAAATAATTATGAAGGCATGGGCAACCCTTTTAATTTGGATGACTTTACGGATATGGACTCTTCATGGGCCAAAGTGATGCAAATGCTTGATGACGACACAATGGACCCGACTCCACCACAAAGACCACCAAGAAACGTACGTAATCCAGGATGCGGTACGGGCGGACATTTAAATCGACCGAGTCGTAGAAATTAGTGTACAAGATCTTTCAAATGTAGCCATTTGTATGTCATTAAATTTATTTAATCCAATTTAATTTTTATTTGTTGTTTGGAATTTATTAATGAAAATATTAATTATTATTTATTTATAAATTGTTAAAAATATAAAACATTAAAAATATTAAAATATAAATTATTAAAAATTATTCAGAAATTATTATTTACAAAATTATTATTTTTAAAAATTTTTTAAATTATTAAAAATTATTTATTAAATATATTTAAACTAATTAAACATTAAAAGTTTTTGAGATCAGAATGGGAGACTCCGAAGTCAGTTTTTGAGATCAGAAGTTTTCTTGGTTTAGCCGGTTATTATCGGAAGTTCATCGAAGGATTTGCTAAGTTATCGTTGCCGTTGACGCAGTTGACTAGGAAAGGTCAAGCCTTTGTTTGGGACGCCAAGTGTGAAGCGAGTTTTCAAGAACTTAAGCAAAGGTTGACGACAGCTCCTGTTTTGATTCTGCCAAATCCAGAAGAACCATTCGTTGTGTATTGTGATGCTTCCTTGATGGGTTTAGGAGGTCTGTTGATGCAGAATAATCAAGTTGTGGCTTATGCTTCGAGGCAACTCAAAGTGCATGAGAGGAATTATCCGACGCATGACTTAGAGTTGGTCGCCGTTGTGTTCGTGTTGAAACTTTGGAGGCATTATTTATTTGGCGCAAGATTTGAAGTGTTTAGTGACCACAAGAGTTTGAGATATCTTTTTGATCAAAAGGAACTGAATGCGAGACAAAGAAGATGGCTTGAACTTTTGAAGGATTTTGATTTTGGCTTGAATTACCATACGGGTAAAGCGAATGTAGTAGCGGATGCATTGAGTCGGAAATCATTGCATATGTCGGCGTTGATGGTGAAAGAGTTAGAATTGGTCGAGCAATTTCGAGATTTGAGTTTGGTATGTGAGAGAACTTCTTTTGGATTTAAGTTGGGTATGTTAAAGCTTACAAGTGGTGTTTTGGATGAAATTCGAGAAGGACAGAAATCGGATTTGAGCCTAGTTGATCGGTTGACTTTAATCAACCAAGGCCAAGGTGGTGATTTTCGGATTGATGAGAATGGGATTATGAGATGTCGGGATCGAGTTTGTGTTCCGAATGTTGTTGAGCTGAAAAAGAGCATCCTTGAGGAAGGACATCGTAGCGGATTGAGTATTCATCCGGGTGCTACTAAGATGTATCAGGATTTGAGGAAAGTATTTTGGTGGCCTAGTATGAAGAAGGATATCGCGGAATTTGTGTATTCTTGTTTGACTTGCCAGAAGTCAAAGATTGAGCATCAGAAGCCATCGGGTTTGATGAAGCCGTTGTTTATTCCTGAGTGGAAATGGGATAGTATCTCCATGGATTTTGTATCGGGTTTGCCGAGGACTCCGAGTAATTTTGAGGCTATTTGGGTTATCGTGGATAGGTTGACTAAATCTGCTCACTTTATCCCTATGCGTATGGATTACCCTTTGGAGAAGTTGGCTAAGTTGTATATTGAGAGGATTGTGTGTCTGCATGGTATTCCGTTAAGTACTGTTTCGGATAGAGATCTGCGGTTTACTTCGAGATTTTGGGAGAGCCTGCAGAGTGCTTTGGGTACTAAGTTGCGTCTGAGTTCAGCGTATCATCCTCAGACTGATGGTCAGACGGAGAGGACGATTCAGTCGCTTGAAGATCTTTTGAGAGCTTGTGTATTGGAAAAAGGAGGAGCTTGGGATAGCTACCTGCCTTTGATTGAGTTTACCTACAACAACAGTTTCCATTCGAGTATTGGTATGGCACCATTTGAGGCGTTGTATGGTAGGCGGTGTAGGACACCATTGTGTTGGTTCGAGTCCGGAGAGAGCTCTGTTGTTGGACCCGAGTTAGTTCAACAGACGACTGATAAGATTAAGATGATTCAAGAGAAGATGAGAGTTGCTCAGAGTCGTCAGAAGAGTTATTATGACAAGAGGAGGATGGCACTTGAATTTCAAGAGGGAGATCATGTGTTTCTTCGAGTCACTCCGATGACAGGTGTTGGTAGGGCACTGAAGTCGCGCAAGTTGTCGCCGCGTTTCATTGGTCCTTATCAGATTTTGCAAAGGATAGGAGAAGTGGCCTATCGTGTGGCTTTACCACCGTCGCTTGCTAATCTTCATGACGTATTCCATGTATCTCAGTTGAGGAAATACATTGCGGATCCGTCTCATGTAGTCCAAGTAGATGATGTGTAGGTGAGAGATAACCTGACTGTTGAGACATCACCTATGCGGATAGAGGATCGGAAATTGAAGCAGCTTCGAGGTAAAGAGATCGCTTTAGTGAAGGTCGCTTGGGGAGGACCAGCTGGTGGAAATGTTACTTGGGAGCTTGAGAGTCGGATGAAAGAGTCTTATCCAGAACTGTTTGAATCAGGTAACATTTTCGAGGACGAAAATTCCTAAGTGGGGGAGGGTTGTAACAACCCAAATTTCATTAAATAATTAACTATAGTAATTAATTGATTTAGTGGGATTTTTATT